AGTAGTAGCCAATTGGAGGGGTTATATTAGTTATCGGTGAAAACAATGTTTTGATGATTGGGCGCATGCACACCGATTGAAATCAGCTTGTGAACGGGCTCTATGCACAGCTAGTACTTTTCAGCCAATGCTAAACTTCCGGTGAAAGCTTAAAATGATTATTTTCAATTTCACAAGGTTCCTTTTACAGCCTTGATGTTGTAATTTAATTGCAATACATTCAGTTAAATTGATTTAAGCATTCATTTAGTTGTTCAAGCGTAAAATGAGATGAAATACCTTGTAACTGCTAGTGCCATCAGGATCAACACACCCATATCACCCTTTACCCCAAGAACAGTCAGTCACTGAAGCTAAGCAGGGCTGAGCCTAGTCAGTACCTAGATGGGAGACCACAATGGAAAACTAGGTTGCGGTCAGAAATATCTGTATATAATATCTTGTATCTTGGAAATAAAAGTAGTAAAAAAAACAGTGGCTGGAATGTGTCTGCCCTAATACATAGAGTGCAGTGAGAGATTGTGAGATCTATGACCTCTGAGAATAAGATTCTTGTCACTTGAAACCAGTAAAGGTTTACCAGCACAGTTCTATTGTTCAGCCTGCTGATACCACATCAGTATTGATCAAGGGATCACCTTGTCATCTAACCAAACAGGTATGAGGCTGGAGGGAGAGTGGAGGCAAATATGCACTCGGTAGAGCAAACGCCTCTGTCAACAAGACTATTTCAATCCATTAACAAAGAGAATGTCACCTATTCTTCTTAATGAAAAGAAAACCTAATGCTGAAAAACTGCTCTGATGCTAAATTTCTAATCTGATTGAAGATTTGAAGAAACAAACGCATTAAAACAAAAAAAAGTTACATTTTTTTATTAGTGTAAAAATGTATAAAGATACGCTTTCCTTGTTTGTTTTTTGTTTTTTAATTTGTTAATTACTCAAACATATCACTAAATAACTAGGATTGATTAAAATAACATAAAAATAATCAAGATAAAGTGGAGATGCATGATAGATGATCAGTAAATACTTAAGATTTAATTAAATACATTTGGTATTTTCTCAAATTAAAAAAAAAGTGTCAGACAAAATAATGAAATAATTCGTAGTTCCAAAGGGCAAGCTGTTTTTTTATTCAAGTCTTTTAACCTCTTTGAAATGCATTCATAATTTGAGAAATTATTTAATCTAATTACCGAAAGATAGATACTTTAAGTGAAATTACTTTAATTAATGACATCTAATGAAAATAATAAATCACAATTATGAAGATAAGTGATCTGCACAGCATTTACAGATTTAGATTATTTGGTTTATGCATTATATAGTTTTAATTATCAAACCACTGAAAATGTAATAATAATAAACCTCATATGTTTCAGATAATAAATACTCAGTAATGTCATTAGGAAGCACTATTTCCTAAATCTAGCACTAAACCCGCAGATCTTATAGTTATGTTAGCATTTATGGATGACATTTACACAATAGGCACCTACAAGATTCAAAGGTCTCAAAAGGAATTTGTAGCCATGCACAGGGAGGGGCGTTTTTTGTACAGGAGAAAATCCAGCCAAGGTCAGAGGTAGAGGTCAGAGGTCGTGAGGGCAGGCCCCCTATGCATAAGACACCCCCAGGATTATACAAGTGTAAAAAGAGCCTATTCAACCCAAAGCCTTGAGTGAGATTCACAAAGATCCACTGTTAGCTCAGTATGCCTCTCGGTACACTTCTAATGATGATTTATATATATACGAATACATACTGTGTGAATATATAGACAGCAAACATCTAGCTCAAGTGCATTCACATCTTTTTTAATGGTCTTATGCATCATAATATGCAAGTGTAATTATAATAATCACACAAATTCAGTGATAAGTGTTAGCAGCTGAATGCACGCTGCAAAGCACTCCTGCAGAGCCAAGGCCAATGAATTGTGCTTAATAAACGGTGTTTTAAATAAATGTATAAGTATTACTTTACAAAAACAGCGTCAGTGTTTGATTTTCAAATATGAATTTTTAATAGGTCTTATACAATATAACAAACACAATCCTTCTGCCGATGCTGTGAATTGAAGGTAAATATGGAAATAATACTCTGTTACTTCTCACCATGAGAAATGTGCATAAGTGTCACCTGTGTGTTTTGAGTCTAAAAGCACAGGTAGCTGTTGATGGTCACAGAAAAATCTACTTCAATGTTCTCCTCTTGAAAAATCTACATCTTATGTGGCCTGAGGGTGAGTAAATCAATCAAAAAGTCAAAACTGTTTTAGCTTTCTAAAGATTTCAGTGCATAATTTAGGACTTATCAGAGTCCTCTCCAGTAAAATGTGGATTAGATGGTGATTAGGCCAGTGTCTTTTTTCTTTATCCTCAAGTAAGCCAGCACAGCTCTCAGCTCAAAGGTGATGGCACTCTATGATCTCCATCTCAAGCTTTATAGAGCCTAGTGAAGATTCCCTCTGCTTCCCTCCATTTTCAGGCTGTCACGCTCTGCAGACAGTCAAAATAAAGTGCACTGACAATATAAGTGACAAATAAATAGCTGATGGCAGTCGGAATGAAATGAGAATGTTTGCCAGCACAATTTAGTGAAAGGTATGCCTGCATGGCTTATATTACCTAATGCTAATTAAGTCTAATTTTAATTAAATTAAGCATATGCAATTATGTTCTACAGAGAACTGTTTTATGAATATTAAAGAAACAACATTTGATTAAAAAATTCAAATGTTTTAAACGTACATGTAACATTCGCAATGAATGAATTAAATTATGGGTTTTGAATGTGTATCAGTTTTATCTTTCATTTAAAAAGCATCTTAAAATCTCAAGGATTGATGATCTAATAGTTTGAATCATTTCTCTTTATAGTCAGTCTGAAGTCAGTCTTTTTAATGACCAGTCTATTTAAAAAAAAATAAAACAGTGTTTATGAAATTTAACATAACAAATTGAGTTAACTGGATTTTAAGACAATTTTGTTTATTTAATTTAACATTATCCCTGTTACATTTTACATCCACTTTTTACAATTTACTACATGTAATTTATGCATTTTTACATATAAGTAAATTATGCAGCAGTAAGCTGTGCTTTATTGTATTGAACCTGAAACGCAAAAAAAAAAAAAAATCTTTAGTTAAACTGGTATACAGTATTTGTACACTGTAAAACTGCAAAAGTTAAGGTAACTCTGAACCTAATCCATTTGAGTAAATGAAGTAATTTGAGCACAGTGAAACCCAATAAATGAAGAGAACTTAAACCAACTGAGTACTGTGAAAGCCAGTAAGTTAAGGCAACTCAAAACGTTGGAGGAAACCGATTGTACAAACCATTTGAGTTAAAAAAACAAATCTATATGAGTACTGTGAACTTTCTCCATTTAGGTTGAAGTTATGAGGTACTTAATTAAATCAACTATTTTCATGTGAGCAGAATTACCTTTCAGTAAATTTTGAGTTAACTACACTCATTTCATTTGATAAAGTTGACTCTTGCGTTTTACAGTGTAGGAGTCAGAATTATTCAAGATTTATCTTTTAAGCCAACAATCCGTATTTGAGTAAAGATCATGTTTAAAAAAATGTGTTAAATAGTTTTAAAGGTGATTAATTTCTTCAATATTTACATTATTTTTTTTAACCTCCAGATTACTTTTTCAAATAGTTGCAAAGCCAAATATTGTCATATTGCAACAAACCATACTTCAATGGAAAGCTTATTTATAGAAATCAATTCCATTTTTTGGTTAGATATGCAATAACCCTTACTTGACTCTAAACTTAACCTAATCCCTATAATTATGTATAAATATATCACTGCATTGTAACATGCACATCGAACACTGTTTGTTGAATTTAAGTTCATTGCATCTAAGCCAATTATTCTCATTACATTATAGGTAGACTGTTAGGTTGGGGTTAGGGTTATTGTAAGTTGACATTACTTGCAGTACATCTGTTGAAGTAACAGTATCATCAGATATTAACCAGACAGTCTACTAATACTCAAATGGACCATGAAAATAAAGTGTTACCACAGTTTTCAATGTTTTGTGATTCATCTTTTTCACATTTGCATTTACTGTACCTTGATCTCTCCTCTGATGTCTGCAGATGTTAAAAAATTTTTACACTGACTTTTATTAAACATTTTTAGTATTTTGAAATGATCTGCTGTCTCGGTTGGTCATGTAAGATACGCTACATAAGATGAGTAATGAGCTGCCAGCTCTTTTTTTTTCTTTTATGAATGTATTTTTTAAATGGATCTGTTTCCAGCTATACTGAAATATGCCTATTTGGCAAACTGTAGTTGAGGTCCTACAAAACTGAAAATTAAATCACAAAAACGAAACAAAAAAAAAAAAGTTAATTACAAGGTATTTTTACAGTATTAACAAAATATAATTGTTTTTAATTTATTTCATTGTAGTTCATTTTAGGTCATATTTATATCCAAGCCTTAATTTATTTATATAGTAAATTATGCAGTGTTACTTTATTTACAATTACACTGTAATGTAAACACCATAAAATAATTTGATTGATTGGTTGATTGGTTGATTGATTGATTGATTGATTGATTGATTGCAGAATGAATGTTTTACTGGTCCAATCAAACAAAGAATGTCACATTACACATTATAACAAAAACATATACAATGTTTGGGAAATATACAAGACCAAATAAAACCCATGCATATTTTACTGTAAACATGGACATGCAAAGTTAGTATAATGTAGTCATTTTGGATGTATAGCTCTAAATATGACTGGACCATTGGCTCAGACCTGCCTGCAGACCTCATTGAGAACTTCCCCGGTTGTAAAGTAGTAGCAAAGGTGATGATGCTTGAAGGTTAATGATTAAAGTCCAAACGCTGTGTGATAGATAGTGTCCCAGACACGCTGGCCTATATTCGACAGCCCCCTAGGTGTCTCACTTTAGCAGTGTTTGTCAGGACTCCGGCGAGGATGTGCGCTGACGTCACCGGCGTGTTGATTTGCTAAGCGGCGAGCAGAGAGGAGTTAGTGCGCGTGAGAGAGAGCGGGTACTGTGAACAGCGTTACTATGCTACAGTCCTAATAACCGCACGCTCGGAAGCCAAACGCGCAACACAGGTGAGTACAGGCGCGCACCTTTAAAACACCCACACCTGCTGACAGACCCATCCTTGTGTGTGTTTTCAGTTCGGGGTGGAAAAATGTTCACATTAGAAGATGATCCGCGTTGTGTTGATCAGATGTGTTTTGCGCTCAGCATCCCATCAAGTTACAGTGTTTCTACTGTTGCTTCAAGTGAAGGTGAATTGTGAGTGCAGCGAAAAGTAAAAGTGCGGCTGTCAGTGAGTGCGGTGCAGGCTCAGGGCACCTGATGGATATGGCTGTTTATGTTCATCTTTACACATGTGGAGATGTTATGTTGACGTAAGCGTGTGTGTGTTAGTATTCGGGGGACGTGAGGTCTGCTCGCGCACCAGACAGTGACGTGCTTCCATGTGCTTTATTTTCAGCTTTACTCTTTCATATTGAACGTCGGACAGTTTATATAGCCTGTGCCATAACTGAACAACGAACAAATATCGTATTTTTGGTGATTCTTGTTTTGCCCTCATCATTAAATCAAAGCTACCGTGGAGGTGCGTGCCGCTGTCTTTTAAAATGAGCCGAATGTATTTGGTTGTGAGTTTTTAAAGTGAAATGACTTTTGCCTTTTATTGTATTATACTTTAAAAATACTTCAAGCCAAACGCTATTTTATTTGTCTTCCCCGTTTGTGCGTGTACATGTGTAATGAAATTACAAACGGCTCTTAAATTGATTCACGTGTGAACAGTCGAATGATCATGTATTGATCAGTCAAATGAGCTCTGACTGGACTTTTCATCGGTCTTTTTTATCGCATATAAGGCAGATAACGGCAGTTGTTAAATAATATCAATACGCATTGATGTTTTCTTGACTTTTCTTGTCTTACTTGTGATGTACAGTTCGCGTGCGTAAATTGGCGTCATTATTGCTAACGTCTCATCAGTTAACAGCACTCTTCAAAGAAAGCGTATTCATTCCTCACTTATTACTCGCCTTCCTGCCGTTTGTAGTAAAATAAACTGCGCGTAAAAAGCCCTCGAATATTTCTCTCATGTCAGCCTTTATCATAACTTGAGCTTATTTGCTGCCTGAGACGGTACATTCACAATGAAAATGCCCGTCATTCACCGCGAAGATCATGGTGTTTGATTTAAAGAGCCTTTACTAGGCTGCTCTTGTTTGCCGAGGCTTCTTGATGATCAGATACAGTGGGAGAAATATTACATGTTTGAGTAAATCTCCTGCTTTTTTATCTACTATCTTAAATGTATGTAATAATATACATAAAGGGATGAATTTCTCATGCTTTCCAAGTGTAAATTGCTAGTCCAGTATGACAGTGTTCACCCAAAAGTAATCTTAATCATCAGGGTATGGTTTTATATATATATATATATATATATATATATATATATATATATATATATATATATATATATATATATATATACACACACACACACACACATTATATTATAGTGTTGAGTGTGGGTTGATTTATTTTTATATATATCATGTATTGTAGAATACATTTAATTTACATGGAGTTGTATTTAAAATACAAATGACATTTTGGTGCGTTTTAAGAGCTCTGAGTTGTTTTGTGTCATCCTCTGTTCCAACTATTCCTGGCAACAGCTTGCCTCACTCTCCATGCTCCGCTCAGTATCCCTGTCTGTGATGAGAATACTGAATAAGATGCCATTTCATTTCAGGAGGCTGTTGATGGGCTTTGTGAGGCGAGCTTGAACACATAGAAACAAAGGCTTGATTACTGCCAGCATTTACTAGCACTAAAGACAAGTTTACATGTTTCTCATGTGGGCCGCTTATCATTTATTATGGTGCTTTATTTTGTGACTTTTAAATGGATTTTGTCTTTAAATCTGTTGGTAAAAAATATTTTTAAATGTTAAAAGATTATGTATTTGTCTTTATTTACAATACTGATTTGGTAAAAATAGATTTCTAATTTATTTTTATTTTTGTGAATTTCTTCTATGTACTAAAGCAATTGGTATGACGGCTTTTTATTTAGAAACAAGAAAACGAACAACTGCAATAATAATTAAACATTGTGGCTGCATTTAACTGTGGGTCTCTTTCATCTCTTTTTTAGATTGACCTTATCTTGTTTACAAAGATAACTGAACAGACTGCTGCGTGGAAAGAAATACTCATGAGTTGGCCGTGTGGATTTCAGAGACGTTATGGATTTGACTAAAATGGGAATGATCCAGCTCCAGAACCCCAATCACCCCAATGCCCTGCTGCACAAGGCTAATCAGATGCGCCTGGCTGGCACGCTGTGCGACGTGGTCATCATGGTGGACAGCCAGGAGTTCCACGCTCACCGCACCGTGCTGGCCTGCACCAGTAAGATGTTCGAAATCCTCTTTCACCGGAACAGCCAACATTACACTCTTGACTTTCTCTCACCAAAGACCTTCCAGCAGATTCTGGAGTATGCCTACACTGCCACGCTCCAAGCTAAAGTAGAGGATCTGGATGATCTGCTGTACGCAGCAGAGATCTTAGAAATAGAGTACTTGGAGGAGCAATGCCTGAAGATTCTGGAGACCATCCAGTCCTCGGATGAAAATGACACTGAGGTTAACATGAACGATGGTGGCACAGAAGATGACGAGGAGCGGAAGGGACGGCACGGAAGGAACCTGGTCGGTTCGAAAAAGCATTCCACAGAAGAGAGCGGCTACGTGTCAGCTGCCCAGCAAGCACTTGCGCTGCCAGGTATGGTGGATCAGAGTCCCTCAGTATCCACTTCCTTCGGCCTCTCCACCATGAGCCCAACCAAAGCAGCCGTGGACAGCCTAATGAGCATTGGTCAGTCCCTCCTGCAGAGCACCATGCACCCTGGCGTGGGTGCTGAACAGCCCTTGCATGGCAACTCGCACCCCATGATGGGAGAAATCAAAACGGAGATGATGCAAGTAGATGAGAGCGGAGAACATGAGAGCCCTAAAGCCATGGAGTCAATCGCCTCCAGCAATGGTGAGCGCAGCGGAGAGCCAGACAAGAACCGTGATGGGCCGGGTACCCCTACCAGGAGCAGCGTGATCACCAGTGCCCGCGAGCTGCACTACGTCAGGGATGAAGGTCTGGGTGATCAGCAGGCCGAGGTCAGCCAAATGGGGCTGGAGGCCATGGCGGGAATGACTGAAAAACATTTGGCGTCACTCTACGGCATTCCTTCTAATCACAAAAATGAAGCGATGCTCTCGATGCCTGCCTCCATGGCCTCATCCTTGCACATGTCCCCAGCCCTGGCCATGTCAATGGACTTCAGTGCCTATGGGGGCTTGCTGCCTCAGAGCTTCATCCAGAGGGAGTTCTTCAGCAAGCTCGGCGAGTTAGCTGCAGGGATGAAGCCTGATGGCCGGAGCCTGAACGAGCGCTGCAACGTGTGTGGAGCTGAACTGCCTGACAATGAGGCCATAGAGCAACACAGGTAGGCTTCTGTTTTCATTTTGTACTTCTAGTTGTTGTGTGTAAAGCATGTTGTTTGCAAAGTGTTTTTTTTTTTTTTGCCTCCCCTGGTGCAAACTCGGGGTCCTTAATTCAATTAGTTTACTGCGCTCTGTAAAACAAAGGACCACAAGGTGCCCATTTTTAGAAATTCTTTTGATTAAAGAACTTAGTTGCAGAGAAATGTTAGTGGAAGATGAGTCATGATGGTTAACTGTTGATTGCTTATCTTCTTTCATGCTGGAGGTCAATTTGCTTAACACTCTGCCTGCGGTGGATATGAGAGAGAATGATTGCAGAGCTGATTTACGCACGTATATGTTTTCCTCTTGCTTTCCCCTTATCAAGAAAAATTGCTCTTCAGCTAAAATAACCTCTGAAAGGGGTGATGGAAAAAAATAAGTCTAACATGTTGCAGTATAACTATTAAAAAAAAAGTTTAAAATATTGCATAAAGAATTAATCATACGGTTAATTAATCAAGAAAATTAATGGAGTTAGAAATGATGTCAATTTGCCAGTAGTGTGATTTATTATAAAACTTTATTAAAACATTTTCTAATTAATACAATTAAATGATGGACCATCTAACATGATCAGTATTTAAATATATCTAATTTGCTAACTTATATCCTTCTGCTTACTGCGAGATGTCATATTTGGATAAATTGGCACAATTGCACAAGGCAAGACCAGGCATTCTCAGGCTAGGGAAGAAAAATGATTACTTTTAACTGGGCCTTTCCTTTAAGTGGGCCGTCTGTTTGTCGCAGCTCCCAGGCGTTGGGTGCTGATCACTTCCAGGCCTGCGCTGGTGGCTGCTGAGTGGTCCTGGAGAGGCTCTGGCTGAGCCCATTAGCTGCACCTGGAGAGGGGGCAGGCTAATGGGAAGCAGCCTCCACACCCACCCCCTGACCCCCATGGTGTGGCCAGTGATGAGTAGGCCAACCTGGGCCCCAGCCACCCGGGACAAGAAGGGCCTTATTAGCTTTATGAGTAGAGCAGACTGTCCAGCCCAGGAAATGAGGGTCTGCGTGGAGGACCCAGGCCGACCTCCGCAGCGTAACCTTTTGGCCACTTGACTGGCCTCTGGTTCTTGTCAGGGTGACTTGTGGGGGTGTTGCAAGAAGGTGGGACGAGGCGAGGAAATCCACGCCACACGTCAGACGTTATATAGAGTGTTGCTGTCGACTAGAAAAGTTTAGAAGATTGTAGTGATGAAGTTATTCATTTGCATTAATTCACATAGCAGATATTTTATCTAGCATGATTTGCAAATGAGGGATGTACCAAGCTAATTTTTCTCATAGGGTTGAAACCTCAATGTTAAAATTTGCTGTTTTTGCATCAATATAAATTTATATACTAGGGCTGGGCGATTAATTGAAATAAACATTATGAACCAACAATCGATCAAATTTTTCCAGGTCATTTATTTTAATAGCTTACCTTATCATGTGTTTTCACGTGACCCTGCTCTTTTTGTTACTAGTGTGTTATTGTGCACTACATTAAAGATGATTGGATATCTTAAGACGGCATATTTTACATTACATTAAAATTATTATTTAAATTAAAACATTTGTTTACAGAAGATGCAAGAAATGCACTGTTTAAAATTTGTTTACAGGATATGCAAGAGTTATTTGATTTAGAAGAGACATGAAAATATATATTTATTATAATTTATTTTTATAATATTTATTTTGTTTCCAAAAGAACAAGTTATTTGTCACATTTTTTTTATAAGAAAAAACTGACTGTTCATTTTAGGTGGTGTGTGTTTTAATTTCATCAACAGTGATGTTTAATAAATAATCACAGATAGTAGATAGTATTTCATTTAATTATTTTAACATCAAGTATGCACCCTTCATTCAGAAATCTCTCACTTGTAATTTTAGCATATTTACTGTACAAAACCTGTTAGTGAACTACGAGGGCAAAAAATAGAATAAAATAATTAGAATAGAAAAATATAATAATTACATAAAATAATTGTTCATTAATCGTAATCGAGTTAAAATTTTCAATTAATTGAGATTTTAGTTTTAGACCAAACCGCCCAGCCCCATAATATACATAGAAAAGGGAAAACCTAGTGGTTTGAAGATTAGTGCAAAAAGTAAAAACATTTAAAATTACAATTGATTAGTTTTTTGTGGCTGCTCTGCGATTTATATGTCTTTTAATATGCCATCAAATTGTTCTTGTTTTAAACATACCTGACAAGACTTTTCTTGCTCATTAGATTGAATAATTTATTAGTGAGTGTCTTCTGTAATTCACATAAAAATGTGTGCACGTCTTTACTTTTGCTCAGGACATTTTAATGCACATGCCAAATAAAAAATGCACTGTATCCGCGAGATCTTGTTCTAGTTCTAGATCAAGTTTTAAAATGTCTTAAACTAAGGTTTAGTCTTAAATTCTTAAATTCACTAAAATATTGGGTTGTAGGTAAAATAATTTTAAACAGGTCTTAATTTTTCTATGTCCAGGGAAAGCTACCCTATTGAGCCAACACCCAATCACTAATAATCCATTCCAACCTTTTTTTATAATTAAGTTTTTTTTTTTATTATTGCCAAGAGAGACAATTCACAAAAGTTGTTAGACATTTTTACTGCAAATTCTGCAAATTAAATTCTCTTATCTGGAAAAGAAAACTAAAGCAACACAACTTTTTTCTTGATCTTCCATTAGTACTAAAACTATTTACCGAAGTTACTGGCCCATTAGAAAAAAACTATGTTTGGTTCTGTAAAAGTCTAAAATTTAATTCACAAGGGATTTAAAAGTGTCTTAAATTTAACTTTAACCCTGAATTAAATATATACTTTAGTGTTTTGATGCTTTAAAAACTTTTAGTCTTTAACAGCAAACCAAATCATATTTCTACATAAAGTTACTTGATTATTGTTACAAAAACTTGTAATCAGATAAAGTTGCATGTTGTTTATTGTTTGCTTATTTTAGATTTACGGGTTACTGCACCGCTGAACGACTGAGTGCTTTTTTTCTGGTGTCATGAAGGAGGCTGTTCAGTTGCCATCCAGCAGAGAGAGTTTTGATTGGATAGAAGATAAAGTTAAAGTGAGCCAGTCATGCACATCTTTGAGTCAATTGCAGTGAGGTGCAATAAGATTATAGAGCAGTGACTGTATAAAAAGGCATTGAGGGAAAACTCTACACAGAGGCCTCTTTACAGAAATATTGATTATATAGGTCCTGCCATGTGCTTGCATAAACCACAATATGTTATTTTGATAATTGCGTGAATGCCATTTGTTTACAGGATTTGGGTAGATCCGCATTCTGCGGGTTTCTTAATGACAGGCCCAGGATTGAGAATGAACTGGTTTGAGCGTTCGTCCTTAATCTGCTGGAATGCACAACGGTGAAAGTTCATCTGAGGATTCAGTTTCAGTGCAAACATTCATGTGTCTTTGGAAGTGCTCAAGATGGCATTAATAAATCCCTCTTAATTACCTTCTATATTCACTGAGTGAAAAATGCTCATTCAACCTTGTGAACTTTAAGGTTGTGTTTATCTTAGAACAGAATAATTGACAAGCCGTGTTAATTTAAAAGTTGTTGGTTCTTGTGTGAATCATCCGAGTGAGCAGGCTGGCATGTCGGATGTTCTGAATTTGACTAAAAAGGCTGCAGAAACAGCCATGACATGTACAATTGTAGTTTTTTATTTATAAATTTATTTTTTAGCAGCAGCACTGTTGAGATTGAGATTTATATTGTATTTGATTTGGTACATTTAAGGGTTCATAAGCTGGGCACGTTTGTCAGCTTAAATTTGCATCATATCATCACAGTTGTTTTTTCAATGCTTGCTTAAAAAAGAAAATCTAAAAGGTGCTTCTTAATGATAATAATAGCAAGTAATCATAAAAATTCTATTTAGATCTTTCCCTGCTTATGTTTTATGCCAGAGATATCGATTAGACATACTTAGCTACTTTCTTTTGAAGTTTCAGCATGATCTTTCTCTTTTATTTAACTTATTTTTTTTATTATTAAAAGCAATGACGGTGTCAGATTTTCCATAGTGAGGTTTCCTTTTTGAAGGTTTTTTCCATTATAGCTCCTGACGGCTTGCAGCAGACGGGCGGCAGCTCTTGTGACTAATTACAGATTATTTTGCAGCATTGTGTGCCAGGGTCCCTGCCATCTCCGCCGCTAGATGCGAGAAATATTTCTGTTTGAGAGTTCATTTAGGGCGAACAGGTCAACTTAACCGTCTGTAATTGTTTCCAGATTAGCCTTTCTGCATGTGCGTGTGGATTTGTGAGCGAGCACATCAGTGAGTGCTTGCTTCCTGTATAAATTTAGCTCGCTACGTTCATTCTCTGTGGCCCAGGGTTATGTCATAAAGCGCTGAATGATATGTGCATCACTTCCAAAACCATGCAAGTGTCAAGACTATCCTATTAAGTAGACCACTGGAGTAATCTTGTAATATCTGGGGTAGATGCGTGTCTGAGGGTTGCCTAAATGAACGCGTTTATTTGTTTTTCAATCACCCAGAGTTCCCTACAGGAGCTAAATCGAAGCACCATAGCAGGTTTTTGACACGAATGAGAGAAATATATTTTTTGCCAGGGAAAACAGTTTGTGGTCCTTTGACTCACGGAAACTGATTACAGAAATATTTCAGCGACCTGCCAAAAGGAAAATAATCAACATGCACAAACGTAAAATAAAAAATAAAAAAACCAGGGGGGAAAACATTTTATTCACGCTGAACTGTCATCTGTCATTGTGAAAGGAATTGACGTAGATCTTTTTTTTTGTTGTTGTTTGTGGTAGATGGGTGAAAGAAGTGTCAAGCTAGCATAGGTAGAGCTAACTGTGGACCTAGCTAGGGTGTTTAAACAGAGGCAAGGCCTTATCTGTGCATATCAGAGACAGCGATAACCCTGTGCTCTCCTTTCCACTATACCAAGAGCAGATGGGGATGATAAG